TGTCAATCAAGTGAACTTCGTCGTCGTTTATATTTATTGTTTAAAGGTGAAGAAGGTCTTGATTATGGTGGTGTTGCACGTGAATGGTTTTTTCGTTTATCACATGAAGTACTTAATCCAATGTATTGTCTATTTGAATATGCTAATAAAAATAATTATTATCTTCAAATAAATCCTGCATCATCAATTAATCCAGATCATTTAACTTATTTTCGGTAAAAATTAAGTGACAAAAAAAAAAAAATATCTTAACTATTTCATGAGAATTGTTTATTTAGATTTATTGGTCGTATTGTTGCTATGGCACTTTATCATGGAAAATTTATTGATAATGGTTTTAGTTTAGCATTTTATAAACGTATGCTTGGTAAAACATTAACAATGCATGATTTAGAATCATTAGATCCTGAATTTTATAATAGTTTATTATGGATATGTGAAAATGATTTAAATAATAATGATAATCTTGAATTATATTTTAATACATCATTTGAATTATTTGGAAAAATTGAAAGTATTGAATTAAAACCAGATGGAAATGATATTAAATTAATAGAAGAAAATAAAAATGAATATTTAGAATTAATGACAAAATGGAGATTTACACGTGGAGTTGAAGAACAAACAAAAGCATTTTTACATGGATTTAATGAAGTAATTTTTTTTTACCATAGTAGATTGGGATTGTGTAAATATTTATTTAAAGTTGTTTTTTAACAGAACTTAGAAACAAAAAGAAATAAGAGGAGGAGGATAACTTCATATTGTTTAGCTGTCTAATTATCTAAAAGTTACAAAGAGAGAGAGAGTAGAAATTTAATCTTTAATTTATTTAGGTTGTACCTCAACAATGGATTCAGATATTTGATGAACGTGAATTAGAATTACTTTTATGTGGTATATCAAAAATTGATATTCTCGATTGGGAACGTAATACAATATATAAAAATTATACTGAAACAGCTAAACAAGTACAATGGTTTTGGCAATTTGTACGTGAAATAACTGATGAACAACGAGCACGTTTATTACAATTTGTTACTGGTACATGTCGTGTACCTATTGGTGGTTTTTCTGAATTACTTGGTAAATATAATTATTTCATTATGTTTAATTTGAATGTTTTTTTTTTTTGGTTTCAGGATCAAATGGACCACAAAAATTTTGTATAGAAAAATATGGCAAAGATAATCTATTACCTCGATCACATACATGTTTTAATCGTTTAGATTTACCACCATATAAAAAATATGAAATTTTAAAAGAAAAACTTCTATTTGCTATTGAAGAATGTGAAGGTTTTGGTCAAGAGTAATTCAAATAAAACTTCCTCTCTCTCTCTCTTGTTATTTGAATTCTGTACGTTAATAGTGAATGACGTTTTTCTTGTTTTGTCCAATATGAGCATTTTAATTATTTCGTTTACTGACAGCAAAAGAAAAAAAAAAACCATGATTTTTAGTTTTTGTTTTTGTGTTCTGTTTGTAATGCGATATTTTTCTGTCCATCTTCATTAAATTGATTTTTTTTCTTCTATTGTTATAACAGTACATATTTTTTTTTTCTCTCCTTCTTTCTTTCAAAAATTTTTACGAAACAATTGTAGCAAACAAACACTCATTTTTATTTTATTTATTCTATCCAATATGTATGTACAATTGGATTAGAATATGTATTTATGTGTATAGGGAAAATGATTGTCTTCTTCTTTGTTTTTCTTCTTTAATTCGGGACTATTTTGATTCAGAATTAATCGATTTTCTGTTTGTTTCAAACATTAAATTGATTAATAGATTTATCGCAGTGAGTTTGAAATTCATTTAAAGTTTACTAAACTAAAAAAAAAAAATATGTAAAAGATCTCATTTGATTGTGTTGAATTCTTGTACGATCGTGATATTTTACAAAAATATATTTGATTTAGTCATAAGAATGACTTTGATTGTAATATTGAAACATGAAGTTTATAAAGAAATCATTAAAATAAACAACTCAATGACAATGATAGTACATGTAAAATTGAATTCAATTGTTAATTTATACAATTAACAACATTGTTGGATTTAAAAAAATCACCATTTGTCATTGGATTTAACGTATTGTGATACTAAACATGACAATTACAATGTTTCTTTCGTAATCCGATATTGTCAAAATGACATAAGATATTCTATCGAAAGAATTGAAAAGAGAACAATATTATTCTTATCATCTCTTCCGAACATTCATAAATGAATAAATAATTATGCAATATGTTATTGAATTTTTTTCTATTCCCTCCTTGTATCTATGTCCTTGCTGATAGAATCTATCGATGATAACTAATATCTATTCATATATGTATTTATTTATTTAATTAGTCTATAAACGAACAAATGTTGGTCTGAAATACGAATAACTCCTAATTAATTATAAAAAGATTTTGTTTGTTGATGAACTATACAATCAATAAAGTTGTTTTCTTTCACATTAAAAGAACGATAATGAGATAACCAAAACAAAAAAAAAACACCTTCCTTCATTCATAGTGTCGATATAAATTATAATAAAATCTAGTTTTTTTTTTTCCTTTTTCTATCGATTCCACCACCATATTAAGGCAATAGAGAAAAATAGGTACCATTGAATAATTAAATTTTTTGTCGCAGAATCAAATGCTTCACCACTATAAAATTTTCGTGGACTTAATCGACAACGTACATCAGTAACAGCATGATCACATCCATAAAAACCACCTTAAACATTAAAATGTTTCAGAAAAAAGAAAAACAAAGAAGCAAGAAATTTTGTATTTTACCGTGACAATATAAATTAGCCTGTTTCATAATATATTCCATAAAATTTGAAAGTTGTTCAACATCATCACGAACTTCAATAATTGAACAATTTGTTATATGTTTACCAGCACATTGAATATAATCAGATACTGCTTTACACCATTGAATTTTTTCTTGTACACTCCATGCAGTTTCAAATTTTAAACGATCATCCAATATATCATTACATTCTTTTCCAGCCTATTCTTTTTTTTTTTGTTTTCAATATGATAACGATAGAAAATGATAATAATATAGTACAGACCTCTTCTACTTCACAAGGTGGCATGGTTGAAGTTGTTGAACTTGTTGTTGTCGTAGTTTTTGCTGGTGGTAATGTTGTTGTTTTACATTTATATTGAATGATTGTACTACCACCAAGACCAGCACAATATCTACCCAATCGCCAACCCTAGTACGTCAAATTTAATAGGAAAATATCAATAGTTTGACATAGATGAAAATGAATAACAATAACAAGAAAGAATCCATATATTTTCAAATTCATCTTGAAAATTCTTACAGCTTGTTGAAGACCAACTTCAAATGCTGCTAAAGCACCTGCATGTTCACTTTTTAAATCACAACATTGAAGTCGTTTATTAACACATTCAACATATTTTTTTCCTTGATCACAAAATTGAAAAAGTTGTTCACGTGTATATAAATCATATTTAAACTTCAAAGAAAAAACAAAAAAAAAAATAAACGAATAAAAAAAAAACAATGAAAATAAATACTATACAATTTCTTCATCATCAGCTGTTGGTGGTTGTGGACAATCGGATGCTTTCCATATATTACAAGTATTTGTTAAAGTGATAAGAAAAAACAAAAATATATATAATAATAATAATAAATAATGATGTTTAGTGAATAACATTTTTTCAACAATTGAAATGTGTAAAGACATCATTGTCGTTGTGTGTGTTTTTTTCTATCTCTTTTTCTTGTTCTTCTGACACCTACACATTTTATTTATCAATTCACAATTGACATCTTTGTCACACGAAAGTATTCAATGAACCCAAATCTCTGTCGGGAATAAAGAGATAGAGAGAGGATCACGTACACATATTGTTAGGATGGATGGTCAAATCAATTACTGCATAGTCAAGAAATTGTTTTCATTCAAACAATGTTATATGACCTTCGAAGAGAAAAATTTCTTTTTTTTTCATGTTTAAATGGAAGAAACATCTTTGACCTTCGTTTGTCTTTTTTTTTTCTGTATATATATCACTTACTTGTATTTGAGAGGTTTTAAACAAAACGAATGTCAAAAAAAAAAGTGACAGCGGCAATTGAATGACATAATCATTTTTTTTTGTTTAAATAAATAACAAACGTAATATCGGGTGATGAAGTAAACAATCGTTGTTGAAAGGATTGAAGGATGAGTTAGTCGGGTTTTTTCTTCTTTTACTTCCTGTTTATTTCTATTACTTTTTCCTCATTCAACGTAATATGAAAGATTGATTTGAAGGTTAAATAAAATCTTTTAATAAAATAATGTTGTTCAACATTTGTGTAATTTATAGGATGTCGTTCTGATACTTATGAAAGTCTTATTCATTATATTTCATATAAGAAAGGAATGATGAATAGTATAGAAAGAGGTCAAAAAAAACACTGGACGTGTGCTCTTTTTACTGCATCAAATGAGAGGATAGTGCTTTATGATCTAGAGGAAAATTCATTAAATAATATTTTATTCAACCTCAGTTTTCATATGTATCCTATATTAATATTGTTGCATAACAACTTTCAAAAGTCTTGCCTACGTTCGCCAACACACACACTAGAATTTTGTTAATTGGCGAATGTTCCATTGGTGAAACTCGGACCACCTGGAGATTCGAATTTGTTCCCGTACACTTCAATAAAATTTTCAAATCATTTTTAAATTTTATTTTTATTTATTTAACAAGGAGATTCTTTTCTACAAAATGCACATATATAGAAAAAACAAAACAAAACAATTTCAGTACGAAAGAATATTTCGACAATCGATTAAAAAAAAAAACAACATAACATCATTAGATTTCTTGTTTTCTAAGATTAAAAACTTATGCATACAGGTCAACGATAAGAATTTGTTTTTTTACATGCTAAAAAATGAACAATTTAGAAATAATACAGAATGGGACTAGCAGCATCTTTCTCAAAAAATATTTATATTTTTTAAACTTGTGTAGCTTTTGATGAACTAGAAATAGATATTGAATGTTGTTGTTGTTGTTGTTGACGATGTGTAATATTAAAATGTGTTGATGATGATAATGATTCATTTGTCTGTTGTACACCAAGACGTTTAATTAATTGTAAAGTTTTTTCTGATTTTTTCATAATAGGTGGTGGAATTTTATTTTGTTGAATTAATTCTGGTGATGATGAATTTGATCGTGATGTATTTGTTAAATCAATAATTATTGTTGAATGTGATATTGGTAATGAAGATTTTTTTATTATATGTTCATCATATGATTTTAATGTTTGTGTTGTAAGAAATCCATTTGATTTTGGTAAATTAAGTACAAGATCAGGTGCATCAATATCTTGTTGTATATTTGAACGAAAATATTGTGCATGACATTCTTCAACAGTTTGAATACCTGATAAAATTTCACGTAATGCTGTATCAATATCAATTATTTGTTGATCATTTATTGATGTAACATGTGCTGCTGTTGCTGCTGCTGCTGATGATGATATTGGTGGAGATGAATTAGATGATCGAACATTATAGATTTTACGAGAAGCAGGTATCGGATGATTTTCAATTGTAGAAGAATTATTTTCTTGTTCGTTATTGTTCATATCAAAATTAACTTCATCAAATATTTTAGTTTCTTTTGCTGATTCAAGACGATGTTCATCAATTAATGAATAATTCGATGATTGATGATATCTATTAGATATGAATGTGGTTGAAATAGAGGCATTTAATTGATCATTTGATAATGTTGGTAAAGTAATTGAAGATGATGGATTAGGTGTTAAACTAAGTTTAGGAGGATGTTGAACAGGAGCTGAATCTCGGCGTCTATAAACAAAAACAAAATTGATAAAGAAACTATTGTATTGAAATATTTAGTTTATCATTTATTTTCTTTTGTTAAACAGAAGTCTTGTCTCTGCTCACAAATTTGAATTTCAAATTTAAGTGATAGGTACATAGACATTAAAACAAGCAAACTGTTAGCGTGATTTCTACAGCATTAAAAGGTGAAGCACAATGCAATTACTATTGTTAATCACAGGGAGATTATTTTGAGACACATGTCTTCATCATTCTTTGATTTTATAAAAGAAAAACGTTATTGATATGTCACTGTCACAATCTATGACATAGAGATTAGATGGGGTTCTAAATTTCTAGCCTAATATGTCCATACTCCATTTATATCATATTTCACCAAAGGGTTAGAACTCATGACAAAACATTAGACATTAGCAAACAATATTTAAAAGGAAAAAACTTGATTTCATCTTACTACATTTCCCGCTTACTGTCATCTGTATGTTATTTGGCGTATTAATCCAACATCTAACGGCTATTTAGTAATTGTTATTCTATTTAATGATAACAAAATTCATTTAGACAATACAATTCCTTTCAAAAAGAACATCCGCACCCAACCCGAGCAGACTGATATCAACTTTTACCTATTTCAACGCTAAGCTGCATACAAAACGAGTCTGAAATTTAATCTAGAAAAGCAAATTTTCTCAGGTAATTAATTAATGAGTGTTTGAGAGTAATAGAAAAGTCTAGAATGATTTGGTTTTCCAAGTCTTCATTCTTTTAGATATCGTAATTTTACTAGGTTTTTCAAACAAAAAAAAACATGTGTGGCCTAGGATAAAATTCTATTACTATATATTCGAAAGAATATGAGGCTCAATTTGCAAGATTATTGTATTTTTACAAACCTGGATTTAAGCTTGATGTAACCGTCAGGAATAAATCCTGACTGATTTCCACCAGCTATATGTCCTAACCACCATTCATGATTCATTTTTTTATGAATAAATAAAGTTTGATTTTTTTTAAATGATAATTCTTTATATGTTCTACCATTATAATCAAACAATGCCACTGCTTCTACCATATTCATTTCTAAAAAAACAAACAAACAAAGAAAAATGATATTCATTTTCTAAATTTATCATTAATTAAAAAAAATAATTAACAAGAAACAGATTTCAACATATAAACAAATAGCTGAATAGGAATGCAAAAGCCATGCTCAACATGCTCGATCTATGAAAAGGATTTCTTATTTTTTAATTTCTTATTCTTTTACCAAACATCAGTCTCATTTAATAAATTAAAATCTTCAGTGCAATAATCAGAATCTTGTGAAGCTAGAAATATTTCAAAAAAAAAAAAATATAGTTTTTTTTTTCTTTTTATCTTGCATAATCCTATTTACCATCATCACTTGGTGATCGTCTTAATGAATGTTCACTTATAATTTCACCTTCATCATCTTCATCTTCTTCACCATCACTAAAAGAGAATTTTTTTTTATTTAGAAAAATCAAATAACAACATTTTTTTTCTTACATTGGAATTGTAATAGCAAATTTTTCATAAATTGGATCATCATCATTTATTGGAAAGATTTCTTCATGACGTGTTATCATTGTTCGTATAAGTTCAATTGTATGTGTTAAATATTGTACTTGATCTTTATCTTCAGGTATTGGCATAAGTGTTGGTGCTAAACAACTTGCTAAATTTGATGCATCCATCATATTTTCATCAGAATATTCTGCCAAACTAGAAACAAAAAAAAAACATTTTTTTAAAATTTTTATAATTAGTAAGAAATTTAAAAAAACAATATCATACTGATTAAGAAATGCAAAAAAATAACGCATGACAATAAATATTGGACGAGGAAGAAGTTTAACAACTTGACTTAGATTTTCCACACATTTGTCTTCGGATTCAACATCAACTATTTAAAAATAATAAAGATTTATATACTTATTAGTGACCAGAATTATAAGAACAACATTTTGTTTTTCTATAATATTAAGCATCTAACTCAAATTGGAAGAATCAATGAAATTCTCTATCAAAATTTCATAGGTGGACTTATGGAAGAAGGGTTTCTAAATACTGTGAAAACGATAGTTCTCAGATATCATCTTAAATAGTATAAAATGAAGGATCACAGTTACAAGCCTACGAAAAACAAAAAAAAATGTGAAACAGACAGAATTGAACTAATGCTTTAGTTCTAGTGTAAAATTTATAAATCTACTAAAATCATCTAAAAAACGTAGCAACCATTCATTTTTCGCACTCTCCGAATATATGTTCAAAATTTCTTTCTGGAGTAAGATTGAACAACTATCATCAGATTGTTTCAAAAAGTCCAAAATACTGGTTGTAGAAATTTGAAAACTTTTCTATTTCTAAAAATAGTTTTTGTAACAGCGTTTTTTATCTGATTTTGACTCTAACTAGTTGGCTTTGAATAATTGAATGTTTTCTGCAAAGATTTTCACAGAATAGGTTAGTTTTCAAATTTTTAGAAATCATGTTCTTTTAATCTATCTATGAAATCTTTCTTTAGATGCTTGGTATTATAGAAAAAAATGTTATTCTTTTAAAATTTTGGTCACTAATTTAGTTTAATTATAGAACTTTACTTACTGATACATGAAATAAATGTGTCAAACATATCTCGAGCAAATAATGGTTCTTTTAATTCACGAAAATATAATTTTAATACACCAGCAACTGAATTCATATCGCGACCTGTTATATTAACTAATGGATCTTCACCTTTTTCAAAAGCTTCTTTAAATTGATTTATATCAATTTGTGCACCGGGTACACGGAAAATACCCTTGAATACAAAAGAAAGTCATCATAGAATAAAACTAATATCAATTTTAATGAAAATACATACTTGATTATGTAAACCAAGTCGATTAATAGCACTAACACATGATGAAATAATTAATGGAATATGTTGTTGTGTTACTTGTATATAATCTAATAATTTTCCACCAAATAAACGTGGACGACCAAGAATTGGAGCACGACCAATTTGTTTAGGTTTTATCGGACGACGTATAAGACTACATTTCAAAATTATTCAGATTAAATTAAAAAAAAAAAACATAAACTCGTACATCTATCTGAATCATTAAAAATGAGTCAGTTCTGTCTCACAAGAAAACATTCTTGTATGATTCTTAATGAAGCAGCTAAGGCTTACGAAATTTAGGTTTTTAACATTGCAAGACTTATACTGCCTCATTCTATAAGTAGGGACAATAGCAGGAGATAGGAAGAAGAAACCCGTGGACTGACTGTCTTTGGTGACAGTTGATTCCACACAGAGCTAGAAAAATCAGGCTATTGGATCCGCTTACAAGATTTCCGCTTCTCATTTCATACTATTTTCTTGATATTTCCGACCGGAAATCCGTAGATCCGAGCATCGGAAACATTGACTCCGGTTTAGAATATTGAACCATTTCTTAAAAAGCATAACTGCATAGAATAAAACAATTAAAACATAGTTCTTTAGGGAATTTCATCCTTTTTTTTTCGAAAATCGAAGTTGAGATCAAGACAGTCAAACACAATCAGGTACTCATCATTAGTGCCTGACTTTGCATTGAGTAGTATATTTTTTCAGTAGGATTTAACGAAAAAACGGAAGTTGAAGTTTTCATAAACAAAATATTCATTATTATTCGAAACTCAATGTTCATTCCACTGAAAAAGCTTAACACAGCATTTCTAGAAAACTGATATAAGTCTATTGCTGAGCATATAACTGAAGAATTTTTTAATATTAATTCATGTTTATTCATCTATTTTTGAGTTAATCATTCTAAGATAGAGATTTTATATGTCTGGAACATTCCAGACTATTCGGAAAAAGAAATACTCTCCTTTTACTTGATCATTCAATAGCAAAATGTCCTGTTCTTATATAAACCTACTTATTTCATAATAACTATATGAATTCTGTAAAATATTTCATACTTTTTATCTTCAGCAGCACCAGTTGGCGGTGTAGCACCTAATGCTTTTTGCATAATATCGTGACGTGCTTGTAAACGTGAGATTAAATTACTACTTAATGTATATTGTTTGAATTTCTATTGAATATAAAAACAAACATATATATATATATGTTTAGAAAGGAAATATTCTTTATTTATACCTCAACATAATAATCTTCAATTTCTTTTCGTGTATCTTTTGAAGTATTTTGTGGTAAATTAAGATCTTTAAATAGATCAGAAACATCAGAATTATTTGTATTGATATATTCCATGAGTGATTGTTCAGTAGCTTCAATTGTTTTAAAAATCTACGACAAAAAAAACAACATATTAATCATGTTCGAAAAAAACCAACATACTCTACCATCGACTACTGTTTAAACCTGTGAGAACCGTTATTTCAAGCAGAAGCTATCAATTAACACATGTTTTCAGGTTACAAAATGTCTCATTTTTTGCATATTGTTATTGTCATAGTGAAAATCAGTGAAGCATATGTATTAGAGTTGAAATCGGTAGAAATTTTGTCAACCGAACCGAACTAATCAGTGAAAAAAAATCTCCTATACCAATAAACATAGGATTAAGTTTGATTTATTCTTATGTGAAATAATTACTTCACAAAACTGAAAGACTTTTTGATATGTCAAATAATACTACTGTCAAGACGAAGATGAAATGGCCTATGAAAAATATGATTTTATGCTAGAGTGGATGTGTTTAGATTACTTAATATGTACGAGTAGGTCTCGGAGAAACGAAGAGAAGCTTGCAAGGAGTCATGAGATACTAATAAAGAGTTACAGCCATTTAAATGAAGTTTTTACTGAGAGTAAAGAATTTCTGAAAAATCCAAAACAATGAATTTCAACGTGAAATTTTGCCTATAGATAAGTTTGATATTACATCAAATCATTCTAAAATGAATGACTATTTATATCTTTTTCCTACATATTATTACTTTGTATAACAATCAGCACCAGTAGTTTATCTACATATGTCCTAGCCTAAAGCAAAATCTGTTTTTCAAACAATATGTTTATATGTATATATATTGACATCAATTATCTACTAATTTGTTGATATTTGTCTTTCAAAGAAAAGTCCCAAAATACTTATTATTGTAAAAAAACAAACCTCATCATTTTCAGTTTTTAATGCAGCAAGTCGATTTTGTATTTGTATAAAACGTGATTGCATTTCATCACGTATTAATACTTGAGCATTAACAGTTGATACTTCATCACCTTTATGTGGTTCAAATTTAATTTTTTTTGGTATTGTAAATACTGTTAAATAATATTCTAAATATTTTTGTTTATCAACAACTGTATCTAAATCTGCAATAGCTCGATTTAATGTTTCAATTGTTCTGAAAAACAAAACGAAAAAAAAAAATTTAATTGAAAAAGAAAAAAAAAAAGAACACCTACATTTGTCGACCACGTTTTATATTTTCTTGTGCTGATAAATACATTTGAATACATTTTGCTATTGATGTATGAAAACCAAAATTCATACAATCAATTAAATCAGGTACATCATCAGAACAATATTTTTGTAGGGCAGCATTTACAGATTCAATTGTCATTAAATAATCATTACGTGCTTTAAATGCTTTTACTTTTGTTTCAGTATATTTCATTTGTCTCTATAACATGAAGTCATAGCTTTTTATTCTGACAGAAATTTCTATAGATATTTTAAAATCCAAACCCGATGGACTCTACATAATCTCTACTAATTTTCTTTTTTATATGTAACTAAACACTCCTCTATATTTACAGCAAATTCCAGCTCATTAAAAGTAGTATACATTAGTTTAGACCATCAGTTCTACAGACATTTGTTTTTAGGAACTATGTTTATAAATCGGAGTCGAACTATTGGTTTCAATGTCGAGTATTTCTTGAAACCGCCGGTTTCTATTGATTTTTTCAAATCATCGCTCTTATCATTTTCATTCATTATTGAAATAAATCTAAAAATTTGTATATACTTTTTCAACACGTTTTTCCATAGTTTTTTGTTTTTTTGCACTTTTAATTTTAGCCATTTGTTGAAGAATATTGCT